ATAGGAAAAAAAAAAATGAGGAAGATACATTAGCTATCTATTGTTCTGAGCCAGAACTGGATGGATGTGGGAAATTTCCATGTAGTGTATGAAAATTTCACTCTGCAGGGAAATTATTTTCCTCTGTGTCTCTTCTTTTACTTTGATTAATTAAAAATATCATTACTCTAAAATTACTCAAAGTTTCATTGTTACTATAAAATTATACAGAATATTGTTACTATACAATGATTCAAAATTTTACTGTTACTGTAAGATCCCAAATACCATGACAATAGAACTGTCTTAATTTGTAGACTATTAAAGTGATCTCCAGCAAAATGATATTGACCGGGTCTTCTTTTGTGTATGTGGAGTAAGCAGACCGTGCTTATTGCTGACAGGATTTGGTCTTCTAGATCTCTAGATTCTTAAAGGAGCACATGGATGTCGAAACTGAAGGGTCTCAGAGTTTACTCTACTCACAAGGTAATAAGCTAGCATGCCATGGTTTCGTGGATCCTGGCCGAAGTTATGAGACTCCTACGTCAGCGACAAAGGACACTTATTACTCATAGCAACAGCAGTGGCATTTCACCCCATCAGCCTTTGCCCTGGTTCCCTGAGCTCCAGTTCCTATAGGGCCCTGTGAAGAGGGCCAGTGATACCTGCACGTACGGGGGGCTGCAGTCCAAGAGGACCCAAGCCCAGGGGAACCACTATCTTTTATATAGCTTCATCTACATATACATAAAAATTATATTTGTATTTACATAAATAACAAAATTTCACTATAGAGAAAACTTGGCTAAAATTGTCAATTTTTATTACCTACGCTTGGCTGATTTCTTACCACTGATTTCCTCAGAATTTGATTTTGACTTATTTGGCCTTTAAAAACCCCAGAAGGAAAACATAGGCAAAACATTATCTGACATACATTTCAAAAATTTTCTCCTAGAAGAAATAAAAGCAAGAATAAACAAATGGGACCTAATGAAACTTACAAGCTTCTGCAGAGCAAAGGAAACCAGAAA